TATAGAAGACATACTATTGACACCGGACTATTGACGACGGACTATTGACACCGTACTACTTACGAAGGACAACCATAGAAGTCGGACTACTGACGCCGGACTACTGACGAAGGACCACAGAGGAGACGGAGTATTGACGCCGGACTACTGACGAAGACTACCACAGCAGACGGACTACTGACGCCGGACTACTGATAACGAAGTATTGACGCCGGATTACTGATTACGAACTAATGACGCCGGACGACTGATGACATACTAATGACGCTGGACTATTAATGACGGATTATTGGCGCGGGACTACTGATGACGTACTGTTGACGCCGGACTATTGATTACGAACTATTGACGCCAGAATACTGATGACGTACTATTGACGCTGTACTAATGATTACAAACTCTTGACGCCGGACTACTAATTACGAACTATTGACGCTGGACTATTGATGACGGACTATTGCCTCCGGACTACTCATGACATACTTTTGACACCGGACTACTGAAGACATACTTTTGACGCCGTACTATAGAAGATATGCTATTGTCGTGAGGGTACTGACGACGGACTTATTGACGCCGGACTACTGGTGACGGGCTTTTGACGCCTGAGTACAGATAACGTACTATTTGCGCCGGACAATTGAAGACAAAGTATTCACGCCGGATTACTGATTACATATTATTACCGCCGGACTACTGATGACGGACTATTGACACTGGACTACTGGTGACATACTATTGACGCCGGACTACTGATGACGAATTATTGATGCCGGACTATAAAAGACATACTATTGACTCTGGAGTATTGATGACGAATTATTGATGCCGGACTATAAAAGACATACTATTGACTCTGGAGTATTGATGACGAATTACTGATGCCGGACTACTGATAAGGTACTATTGACGCCAGAATACAGATGACGTACTATTGACGCCGGACTATTGATCACGGACTAGTGTCGCAAGAATACTGATAACGTACTATTGACGCCAGACTACTGGTTACGAACTATCGACGTCGGTCTAGGGATGACGTACTATTGACGCAGGACTACTGATCACGAACTATGTACCACAGACCTCTGATGACATACTACTGACGCCGGACTTTTGTTGACATACTATTGACGCCGGACTACTGATGACGAACTATTGATGGCGGACTATAAAAGACATACTATCGACTCTGGAGTATTGATGACGAATTATTGATGCCGGACTACTGATAAGGTACTATTGACGCCAGAATACAGATGACGTACTATTGACGCCGGACTATTGATCACGGACTAGTATCGCAAGAATACTGATGACGTACTATTGACGCCAGACTACTGGTTACGAACTATCGACGTCGGTCTAGTGATGACATACTATTGACGCAGGACTACTGATTACAAACTTTTGACGCTGGCCTATTGATGACGGACTATTGACTCCGGACTACTTTCGAAGGACAACCACAGAAATCGGACTACTGACGCCGGACTACTAACGAAGAACCACACAGGACACGGACTATTGACGCCGGACTACTGATTACCAAGTATTGACGCAAAAGTACTGATTACTTACTATTGACGCCGGACCTTCAATGACATACTACTGACGCCGGACTACTGGTGACATAATATTGACGCAGGACTACTGATTACGAACTATTGACGCCGGACTACTGATGACATACTATTGATTCATGACTATTGATGAAGGACTATTGACTCCGGACTACTCATGACATGCTTTTGAAACCGGACTACTGAAGACATACTTTTGACACCGGACTATTGATGACGGACTATTTACGCCGAATTACTGACGAAGGACTACCACAGAAGACGGGCTATTGACGCCGACCTCATGACGAAGACTACCACAAGAGACAGACTATTGACGCCGGAGCAAAGACGAAGGACTACCACAGGAGACGGGCTACTGACGCCTGACTACTGATTACAAAGTATTGACGCAGGCCAACTGATTACGAACTATTGACACTAGAGTACTGATTCCGAACTATTGACGCAGTACTACTGATGGCATACAATTGACGCCGGATTATTGATGACGGACTTTTGACGCCGGACTACTGACGATGAACTACTACAGAAGGCGGACTATTGACGCTGGACTACTGATTACGAACTTATGACGCCGGACTACTTACGAAGAACTACCACATAAGACGGACTGTAGACGTCGGACTACTGACGAAGGACTACTACAGAAGGCGGCCTTTTGACGCCGAACTACTGATTACGAACTATTGACGCCGGACTACTGACGAAGGACTACCTCAGAAGACGGACTATTGACGCCGGACTACTGACGAAGGACTACCACAGGAAACGGATTATTGACGCCGGACTACTGTCGAAGGACTACCTCAGAAGGCGGCCTTTTGACGCCGAACTACTGACGAAGGACTACCACAGGAGACGGGTTATTGAATCCGGTGCATTGATGACGAATTAGAGAACCCGTACGACTGATGCCATACTATTGATGCCGGACTATTGATGACAGACTATTGACGCCTTACTACTGATGACATACTATTGACGCCGTACTATAGAAGACATGCTATTGACTAACGAAGGACTACCACAGGAGACGGACTATTGACGCCGGACTACTGAAGGACTGCCACAGGGGACGGACTACTTACGCCGGACTACTGATTACGAACTGTTGACGCCGGACTACTAATTACGAACTATTGACGCCGGACTACTGATTGCGAACTAATTACGCCGGACTACTGACGGATTACAGACGCCGAACGACTGATGACATACTATTGACGCAGGATTATTGATGATGGACTATTGACGCCGTACTATAGAAGAGATGCTTTTGACGAAAGAGTACTGACACCGGACTATTGACGCCGGACTATTGATGACGGACTGGTGACTTCGGAGTACCGATGACGTACTATTGACGCCGGACAATTGAAGACATATTCTCTCATATCCCGCCATTTTGGATAGAGTTTGCCCATGTAGGATAGCTATGTAAGAAATTTCTATCTTACATGGGCAAACACGTGCGCGGAGTAATCTGTGTTCAGGGGAAACAACTTTTACAGCGTCCGAAAATCCCTTGTACAAAAAATGACCGACAACCATGTACCCGATACCTTGCAGGTTTATGTCACGGGTCATAAAACACACAGTCGCTGAATAATTACAGGACACTGAATGACAGACAGAAGTACATGATTTCCAATATGTTGTCAAACACAAAAAGCTCCGAATTAATTCCATCAAACCGAACACCATCCTCTGCCACCATTTCATCAACTTCAACAGTTACTAGGCCTACATCTGATGTCACAGTGTGTTTACCATCGTCATCACAACAAGAAAACACGGTTAACACCTACAATCCTGTATCACAGAAACAATCTGAAACTCGCATCGAATTCTTGTTTGCTGGTTCTCACATTGAAAATTGCCAAATCACCGTAAATATCACAAATATTCCACCACCCAAATGTCGTCGAATCATGGTGATTGAGAGCGACAGCGACTCGGAATAGGAGATCGTGTGACGTCACGCCTTGAATTTATGAATGGAATTCCTTTGACTATGGTGACGTCATGTCAGCGTCACAGTATTTTGAAAAAAATGTTAAAACAGTAAAAAGATACATTGATATATTTCTTAAAATGATCAAATATGTGATTTTGATGATAAAACTATATGTTGAATTATAAAAATCCGTTCCTTGTTGATTTCTTTGAAGTATTTGACGGAACAATTTCTTTTCGCGGATGTTTACTTACGCATACTATATAATCACACAGAGATCATTTTTGTTTTTTTTTCATCTGCTAATAATATATTCATCCTGGAATATACCGAAAAATGGTTTGAAATTAGACAGCAAACTCAAAAAGTTTGCAAAATATGGGTATGATCGTTAAGAATATCCAGTTCGTTTTTTATAAAAACCTCGGATTAAAAAAATGAGAAAAAAAAATGAAGATAATGGCCGACCGACAGTCCTTTTCCCAAAATTTTGGTAAAGACACGAGAGAAAAAGACTCTTTCATTATGTGTGTATGTAGGATAGGGATATTCCACCCTCGTGGTTACAAAATATGGTAAAACCCTCGGCAGAGCCTCGGGCTTCACCATATTTTGTGACCCTCAGGGTGGAATATCCCTATCCTACATACACGCATATGAAAGAGTCTTAAAGTATTGACGCCGGATTACTGAAGACATATTATTGACGCCGGACTACTGATGATGGACTATTGACACTGGACTATTGATGACGTACTTTTGACGCCAAACTACTGTTTACGAACTATTGACGCAGGACAACTGATTACGAACTGTATACGCCGGACCTCTGATGACATCCTCTTGACGCCGGAGTACTTACGACAGACTATTGATCCCGGACTACTGACCAAGGACTATAGATGTCGGACTACTGACGAAGGACTACCACAGAAGACGGACTACTGACGAAGGACTACTGACGACTGACTACTTATGCTGGATTACGGACGACTACCGACACCAGGCTACTGTCCACGTGCTACCGTCGACAAATTACTGAAGACGAACTACTGACGACGAAGGTACGTCAGCAGACTAATGACCTGCATTATTTTGTAATTTATAGATGTAAAGAGTACAGAAACAATAAACAACATACACATATTCACCTAGATGTATACTAGCGGAAAAAAGAAACGCAAGTTCAGTTTTGGATATATGATTTTTTTATCCGTAGACCAAATGTTGTGAAATGTGATACATAAATACCTCAGTTAACTGTCTAAATAATCGTCGGCATAAATTCGGTCCACCGTGACCACGGGCGACGCTGCACGATTTGAACAGATTTTCCAACAAAGCGTGCGTCCGTACCACTACCACGTGCTATCAACTTGAAAACCATACCAAATCCAAGTTTTGAACAGCACACATCCGGTGCACAACATTTCATTCCAAGGCGATTAAAAAGCAGCATGTCGCGAATGTCCGAAGTTGATAGGGGTAGGGCTATTGCCCGAATTCTACAGTGCCAATCGCAACGTCTCGTCGCCCAGCAATTTGGAGTCGATGAGTCAACGATAGCTCAATTAGTTGGGCGTCTCAGGGCCACGGGAAGATTAGCTGACTGTCCCAGGAGCGGACGTCCACGCGTTACGACGCAACGTCAAGATCAGGGCATACGTCTCTTACACCTACGTAACCGATTTCAGACAGCGACGGAGACGGCAAGTCATATTGTAGGCACTCATGGTCGCCGTGTGTGTCCAAGAACAGTTAGGAATCGGTTGCGGGAGTTCAGTTTAAGGCCACTACGTCCCTACGTTGGTCCGCAACTTACACCCAGCCGACGTCAACGTCGAATGCAATGGCTGCGTGCACATCAGTTTCGCTTGGCCCGCTGGAGACGTGTGCTATTCACGGACGAGTCTCGGTTCACGCTGTATAGGTCAGATGGAAGAAAACGTTGCTATCGACGTCGCGGTGAGCGATATTTTGACGCATGCGTTAAGGAAAACGACCGATTCGGGGGAGGGTCTGTTATGGTTTTTGGCGGGGATTTCTCATGGCGTGAAAACACCTCTCGTGACCGTCCGATATTGGAATCAGTTCCTCATTCCTCATGGCCTTCCATTAATCCAAGCGCGAAACCTTACGTTGCAGCAGGATAATGCGAGGCCGCACATTGCTAGGGTGTGTCGTAACTTCCTCAACCAAAACAATGTCCCAGTACTCGACTGGCCACCCTACAGTCCAGATCTGTCCCCGATCGAGCATTTGTGGGACGAGCTGGACAGGAGGCTCAGGAAGCGCGTCAACGTCCCAAACAACGTCGCTCAGCTCACGCAGGCCATTCTTCAGGAATGGAATAACATCTCGCAAAGGACCATAAACAATTTGATGGGGTCAATGGTAAGGAGAGTTAGAGCAGCGACTGCAGCTTGAGGTGGGCACATCCGCTATTGATTTTGATCAGGAAATGGCGTAGGGTATCCACGTTTAAACGCTATCCATGCCAACGCCGTCTGTGTTGAGACAACAGAACTTATCAAATTTTAATCAGTCAGGAGGAATTAATATAAACATCTTAACAATGATATGATCATCCATAAAACATTTGAAATATTTACCACCGGACAAAAACTTGCATTTCTTTTTTCCGTTAGTATATCTCAAAGCATTTATCTGTAATTGTCATAGTAATAAACATATTTGTACATACGTTTTGACTTAAAACAAATTATAGCTATTATAATTCTTCTGTCAGCAAGCTTTGTATATAAAGCTTCATCATATTTACACTCTGTATATAGTGTCTGAACAAATTCGAACCTATTAGAACGTTTATAGATTTAATTGGTCTGTGTACATTGACATAAAAGATAAAAACCCTTTAATATATAAACTCTGGTCCTGTAAATAATGATATTTACCGAAGTCAATATACAGCTTGTGAGACAACAATCTTATACTATATAGGCCTATCTCCCTCTTAGCTGGTACTAATTCTTTATGTTTCAGATGAGCTATATAAGCTGTAAGACATTATTAAACACTTTGTGGCATTGTTAATAAGTAGTTTTAATTCTTACATACAATATGATAATCTGCTGTAATGTGTAGCGAAATAATACTTTAGATTTGATAAGTTCGAAGTTGCCGCCAGCAGCGATCTTGGATAATTTTTAAGCTCAAAATTTCACAAGCACATCGATTTCTTGAAAGTGTCATAGCGTTTGAATTTGTTCACTGGAAAGACGTATGGACGTACGGGTCGCTGATACAAAGCAATTTGAAATATGCTGGTGGTTAAGTAAGTCCCTGCTGAGCACCAAATCCCTTTGGAGGATTCTGAACCAAGAATATTCCCCGAGAGTTATTCCCCGTCACCCAATATCATGCGTGGTAGATGTTTAGTCGAAGATTTACAATTACATATACATAGTGTGTAAGATCTGTGAATGGTTCGGAAACCAAGAGTAAATGACCTACACTATTAGTGAAAGTGAATCGATCACAAATCTTTGCCTCACAGCTGCATCGATTTCTAATTGCAAAGCTATAAAGCATTGTCAGCTTCATTTCCATGATATTTATAAAGAGAAAAACCATTCTTTACTTCGAATTTCTTTGGTCTTCATTGCATTCATATTTTTATATGCTTATCTTATGCGTGTGCTTTAGATGTTATTTTTTTTCCGGCCATGCGACGAAAATCGTTTTACTTCTAACGACATGTCAACGACCAAAAGGTGAAAAAACCTATTGTTTTTATGTTTCTTATTGTTATTCTTCTTTCGAATTTGTGGGTTCGTAATCTTTTAAACGGTAAGGGATATGCACGCAACCTATATAGTATGTAATGGAAGTACATCCGAACTTGTTAATGCCGCATTTTAAGTCGGTCAAAAAACCAATATGGCCGCCATGACCCAATTACCAGAAATTCTAAAAACAGCAATAACTCGAAAATTATTTGTCCTTCAGATTTGCTACAGTGTATCTTATGTAGAGGAAGATCATATCTAATTTTTTTACATGTTAATAGAAATTCTTTTAACTAAAAAAGCTCGCCTAGGGGTCAATCTCACCTAAAAATAGAAAAAAAAATTATTATTTTTCGATTTTTCCCCCACAGTTCAATGCAGAATATTTATCCGATCATTTAAGTGTGAACATTTCTTCTGTGACGTCTTTCTTTCACGTTTTACATCTTTTTTTTAATTCCCATAGTTTTATGTAAAGTGCAGAGAAAAAGTTTGAAATTAAAATCACACCAAGATCCTACGATGGAATTTTGTTTAATTATCATGGAATATGTTTACTAACGTGCTCTCTAAATTCTGACGTGATTTTCAACTTTATCGAAAACCAAAATGGCCGCCATGACTAAATATTTGATTTTTGCCCTAATGACGTGAGATTTTGAAATTACCATTGGATATGTTATGTAGAATTGAAAATAAATGGCACGTCTCATGGGACATTTTTGTGTAAAACGTCAACTACCGGTTTTCGGTAGGGGTCAACGTTTAAAAATGCAATTGATGGTACCAAACTACCAGAAACTTCTTCTCGAGTTTGGAAAGGCCTAGAGAGTCGATAGTTCACATATACTGCTAAGGTAATTTTCTTTTAAGTTTGTTACTATTTGGATGACCTTGACACACTTTCTATGTCACGTGGGTCAATTGTATCAATATCATTAAATGACGTTTTCTTACTTTTAAAGAGGTAAACAGTTACGTGTTTCGGTTAACAACCTTCTGCGGAGACTTGCTTTTGATTGGAACAAGCAAAACTCCACAAAAGACAAACTTCCGGTTTTCCTTAGGGGTCAAATTTTAAAACTTCGATGTAGGGTACCAACGTATACGGAACTTCTTCTCAAGTTTGAAAGGGCCTAGAGACTTGATATCTAATACATATAGATTTAATATGATTGTCTATAACTGTTGTCAATATGGATGACCTTGACCCACTTTCAAAGTCTCATTACTTGCATATATTGATATCATTAAAGGATGTTTTCTTACTTTTAAAGAGAAAAACAAGTACGTAATTTGATTAAAAACCTTCTGTAGAGACTTGCTTTTGATTGGTTTAAGCCAAAGACCAACTTGCATATCTTTGTTGTTAATATAATTGATATCTAATATATATAAAGTTAATATAATTGTATATAACTGTTGTTGATATAGATGACCTTGACCCACTTTCAAGGTCACATGGGTCAATCATGTCAAACATTTTAAATAACGTTTTCTCAATTTTGAAATCGGAAACAATAATGAAATTAGGTAATTTTCCTTTTGTTAACAGTCGTCTGTTATCAAAACTTTTTGGAGAAATTAAACTTCCGTTTTCCGTTAGGTGTCAAAGTTTTCATTAAGTGCTATTTGGGCTACCAAACGTTTAGAATCTTCTTGAGTTCTGTGAAGCCTGATGACCTGATATTTCACATACGAACATAATGGACAATCGAGTTTGATAATACAAATGACCTTTACCCACTTTCAAGGTCACAGGCGTCAATCATGTAAAAGAATTCGTAAGAATTCATTTTAATATTTTTAGCAGTAAACAACTGTGGAATTTCCTTAAAAACCTCTTGTGGTCCTGTGGACACTTACTATTGTTAACAATAAGTAGTATTTTCCAAAAATTCAATTTCTGTTTTTTTCGGTACTGTTAAAAATAACGTTATACTGCATTATTTTGGATAACAGTATGCTCAGTGCTTTGATATTTAACTACTGGTGATTCCTTTTGTACAGAGTGCCACTGTATTGCAGGCATTGCCTTTAATTCCAGGCTAAAATTGGTGAAAAGCCCGTCAAAATTTCTGGTTAATGTCTATATAAGTACGCTATACATAAAGATATTATCATTCTCTTTTTGTTCCGTTGGGATCAAATATAAGCGTGATCAAAATTAGTATGACATGAAGGTCGGCAACCGATCTCACGACGTACCAAATGTGGGTCAATCTGAGAGAATGGCCGCGAATGGTCAGTAGTTATTGCTTTTCCCTTTCATTCCGGTCAATGTCCGAACTTTCAAATACTTATTCAAATTTTAATCAAAATATATATAATAGTCAATAGTTCTTTTATTCCGGGTCTTACAGAGAACGTCTCGCAAGATAGGTGTGTATTCTATAATACTATAATTGGATATCCACCATAGTAAAGTTAATTGTCAGTGTAATATTACACACGTGTCCCAGTTTTCTTCAACCTCGATTTGGTCATATTTTCACTCGGGTCTCATTCGCCAGAGCGTACTATCATTGGACTTCGAACGGTCGGTATTGAAGATTTTGCATTTTAAGAACGTCAAGGAACCACAATTAAAAAGCGACTACGGTTTCGACCAAAACTAATTAAATAAAATAAAGATTTCAACTCCACACTGGTAATGTGCATTGAAGGAATTGCACGGTACCTGTATTTACAGTAGATAACACTACTATATTGCATTACATTTATATTTAAAATCCTGCGTCATATAGATGACTCAGACATTGTGGTTTCCATGCAGTTGAGTATACCGTTGTCTTTACAAATCTTGAACGCATAAATCAAAGACATTAGGTGTTCACCAGGAATTCAAAATCCAGAGTACTCCGGATCTAAAAAAAAAATCTCGATGTGAGTACACACCGATAGGTGTATTATGGTTGCAGATTACCATCATCCAAGGGAGATAATGAGATATAACATCGCGACAAGCAATATGCAAGATGTTGTAAATTACAAGTTTTATCTATATCAGAAGGTTCTGACGTTTTCATAATACATAGTGTTATCTTAATGATGTATTTTTGCGATGCATTTACAATCAGGAATTACACAGCCAATGAGAAAATATTTCTTATTCATTCACCTTTTGAGAACGTCCCCAGTTTAGATGGGTTAAGCGCATGTAAACACATTGATCACGTGATCAAATATAAACCGGCCAAAACTGGTGACAGCTGAAAGTCGACAGGACTGGAACGCGTCGGATTTTTATATCTCGTTCAAGGTAAGCACTGGTGTGAACGCTGTATCGCAGATAAAATGACGGGTTTATGGATAAGCTTCCGTAGGAACAAACTTAAGCACTCAGTTATCATATTTTGAGTTGTAACTGGTGGTCGAGTTGCTGAACCTTGCAAGATCAGCCATGGAACAGCTGATCTTTCGAGGTCACGACAAGAATTTTCAGCAAACAACCATTTGGCTCATTTAACAACTTATTCTACATAGTCATGGATATCAATTGTTTCATTTTGAAACCATTTACATTGACCTTGTGAATACACGTGTAAGCCTTCATAAAAACAATACTCTTTGTTTATAATAAACTGCGTTTCACCTACTAATCAGGCCATTGTACGGTATGAAAATGTAAACACCCTACAGCTAACCCTTCGGTGAGTATACTGGGCAGTGCGCACCGAGTTTTGAAAAAAGGAAAACATGAACTATATTGGACCAGTTTTATTTTGTTTTATTTTCTAATATCAAAAGAAACAGTGCATGGCATCCTATTAGCTTTTGTAGTGATCGTGCGTTACAGGGGTCTAATTAGCAACAGTGACAACGTTACGTCGTCGGTAGCAGTTCAGTATTAAACTATTATTCTCGGATAATAGATATAAATATTTTTACCCGAGGCTTTAGTATTTGGTAGCATAACCATCTCGCGGTATGGAGTGGAATAGGTTATTTATGTATGTCAGGGAAAACGTAGCCCAAATTCTTTTGACGGCAGCGATCAAGTCGGCGCGGTTTGTGATTGCTTGTATTTTTTCTCCAGTCGGATTTTTATTATCCTCCACACATTTTCAATCACATCTAAATCTGGAAACTGGGATGGCCAGTCCAAACAATAAATTTTGTTTTCCGTTTTCCATTGAAAAGTCTTCGAAGAGTTGCGAATGGGCACATTATCATCCTGGAATACAAACTCTCCATTGGGAAAATGGTTGGCAATTACAGGCCATGAGTTTTATTCCTGAATATCTCTGTATTTCCTAGAGTTTATATTTCCATCACTGATAGCCCTCAGCTTACTATCTCCACTGAATTGTGAAACAGGCCTGTTGAATTCAATCATTAAATCCTTCAAACACTGTCGTTATTACTTTCACATGCTGATTTAGAGTGCTAATTAGAACACTAGTTGACTAACTTTTCACGGCCATCCACTTTTGGGTTTATTTTCAAAATTTTCCACCTCTTCATATCTTTTCAAAATCTTTGTAGACCGACTATATCCTAATGAATTTGCGACCTCTGTACCCAGTATCATCCATTCCTACAATCTGCTGTTTCTGGTCAGATGTCAGCTCTTTTTTATTTACTCGCCATGGTTTGCTGGATTGACAGATGGTGCAAAAAATGACAATTTATTAAGCAATCAGTGACGACACATGCATCCTAACTCAGGAATTCCAGTGTAAAAAATAAACATGATCTGTCTAGTATCAATAGATTTTAAGCAATGCGACATCATAAAATGTGAAATACTTTTGTCACCTCACTTTACCTTATGTTTTATAGGTAACGTTAATCAATCCACAAATATATTGTACAAACCATGGCCCTCTGTGATTTTTCCCCAGAGGACTGAGGGTCATCATTGCTTTAATTATTGGCTTACCTGTCACAATGGTCAACCTCACTTGCTCCAAAGGAAGGGCAACCTGATTCAGCTTTTCCAAAGGACAAGCTCACTTCTCTGAAAATGAAAGCTGACACATCTTGTTTGGATCTAACATCCCATCAATGTCGGTTAATATTAACCTTTCCTTGATTTCTAACTTTTGGTCTTTTGTGGTTAATTTGGTAAAGGGTCATCATGCATTACCAGTAGCTTTAAAAAGTAGCCTGACAAAAGTTTTTGAAAAAGAAAGGGCCTTGACCTTAATGAAAATACACTGTATCCGCTGGGATTTGAACTAGTGACCGGTTGGTCTCCAGCCAGAAAATATACTGCTTGACTAAAGGGAAATTCCCACTAGTCCAGGCTACTAAGGTCACCTGTACTCTTAACTTCTTGACTACTCCCTCATTGGACCCAGAAGACAACAGCAATCAAGGTTCAATATCTCTATCTAAGCATCTCCCACTGGACTAAAGAGAAATTGCTCTTCATTTCAACTTTAAAATCTGTGAAAATGTGACTTTCCTGACTTGTATGTTTATTTCATACATAGAATAAATTGTTGTTCAGAAAAAGTCACAGAATTATTAGCATGTCCTTTAAATTTAATGTCAGATAGTTTGGGTTACACTCTTCAAGATGACAGAATTTGGAATTGGTATTCATACATTTTTAGCCTACCATCATCAGATGGTGGGCTATTCAAATCGCCCTGCATCCATGGTCTGTCAGTCCATCCATAAACAATTTTTGTTATCGCTATTTCTTGAGAAGTACTGGATGGATCTTTCTTTCATTTCATATGTAGGCTCCCTTTAGTCCCTAGTTGTGCCCGTTTGATTTTGGGTTTGATCAGAAACACAAAATGGCCGATTGGTGGCATCTTGGAACTCCGCAAGTTTATTATCGCTATTTGTTGAAAACTACTGTATAGATCATTCTCAAATTTCATCTATAGGTTCAATTCAGTCCCTAGTTGTGCCCATTTGATTTAAAGTGTACATTTAATGGCAACTTTTTTTACATATAAATATTCTGTCGTGTTAAGTGAAATAAATATCGAAAACCCTAATAAAATCTGTTACGGCATTGCCGAGATATCGCTGTTTAAACTTCCCGGTTTGCACCTGTCATACACAAGCTCATTAGGGACTAGCCTCAACACCTGGATTTCCACCTGGATTCGTGTGACGTCACTAGTGTGAAACAATACAGAAAATGGATTCAGGAGTGTAAGCCTGGACATCTATGTTCTAAGGACGGCGTACTACCAGTACAGAGTACTGCATGGGAAATTCCTGAATCACCTGAGTATGTCAAAAGTGAAGTTACTTTATTCACAATAAACAATAAATTATAATTCTTTATATTTATTTACACGGATACATTATAATCATAAATGTGCAATTAAAACGTTAAAGATAAAAGATAGTATATATACAAAAGTTTCCCTTTTCATATGGAATACATTATATTTCACCAGTGTGGCCACTTTTTTTTTTTATATTTTTAGCCCACCATCTGCAAAGTCACACTCGCTTGTAATTTGTACTGGCATTATCAGTGTCTGTTTTCATCATGTGGAATGGATTCAGCAGTCATCAGCTAGTATTTGGAAAGAATCCTAATCTACCCTACGTAATGCAACCTGAACCACCAGCTTTGGACGGGACAACAACTAGTGAAACATTTTTCAAACACTTGAATGCTTTACATTAGACAAGAAAGGCATACATACAAACAGAGGCTGATGAAAGGATAAGGCGGATAAGTCAGTGGATCTATCAAAGACAACAATACACATGGAGAAGGTATCACAAAGGAAAATAATGATTTTGTCAGTCAGAACGACACTCCCAAGTCTACACAGGATATTTCAGAAACAATTACTGGTCAAGGCACGTCAGAAAACTGTGAGAAGAATGGTGACAGTGAAATAACCTTCCCCCAGAATGAAGGTCACATCAAGGTGAATCAGCATATTCAATACAAGTTGCCAGAATCTGAAAAATGGGCAAATGCTACAGTAGTGAGCAGAGCAGGCAAGACTACAGGAAGGAACAAAAATTGGTATAATGTAAAGGATGATGTCTGTAATGAAATGAAAAGTGTTGATTTGGGCCATGTAGAATGGAAAACTTTGAACAAAGGTCAAGAGGAAGTAAATGCTACAACTGATGACTAATCCTGATAGTGAGATAGCAAAACAAGTAGAATTACAGAAACTGCGTCAGTTTGATACATATGAAGAAGTGGAAGATAATGGACAAAACAAAATTTTTACAAGGTGAGTGATTACAAGTAAAGACAGTGTAACCAGAGCACGACTCGTGGCAAGAGGGTTTGGAGAACATTCATTTATACCGAAGGATAGCCCCACTGTTGGAAAAGGGGTTATGAGAATTTTCCTTACGATAGCATCTAGCAAAAACTGGAATGTCAAAACCACAGACATCAAATCAGCATTTCTACAAGGAAAGGAATTAAATTGTGATGTGTATATAAAAAGTGATACACAGGAAGGCTATCTTTGGAAGCTCAAAAATGGCCTATATGGGCTGAAAGATGGTGCAAGACAGTCCTTTTTGAGTGTGAAAGATGAACTTACAAAACTAGGTTTCAAACAGTTGAAACTTGACCCTGCTGTTTTCACTTTGATGAATGATGGAATCCTTGTTGGAATGATATGTTGTCATGTTGATGACTTTCTTCACGCTGGTGATGAGGCATTGGAGGAAATGATACACAGACTTAGGGAGCAATTTCTAGCAGGGAGAGTAGAGGAAGGGTGTTTCAAGTACATAGGTTTCCATATTAAGCAAAACAAAGATGGAATCATGCTTGATCACTCAGAGTATTTGGATAAACTTTATCACCCGCATACTGACCCTGGTTGTGCATCTCAAAAACAATGTCAGCTTACTGACAGTGAGCAGTCTCAATTTTGTAAGTTAGTCGGTCAATTGAACTGGGCAGTGCAAGGATCACGACCGGATATGGCGTTTGAACTAGTTGATCTAAGTACAAAACTTTCCAAAACATTGGTTAGTGATTTGTTGAGAGCAATCAAAGCCATAGGGAAGTTGAAGGATATAAAACCTATTCAGTTGTACCCACCCCTACAAGGACATCTGATACAGGACTGGGAAATTTTCCTTTTCACCGATGGCGCATTAGGGAACATCAACAATGGCAAAGGTAGTACTGGAGCGCACATTCTGTGGATTAAAGATCGGCTGGGAAACTGCTGTCCAATATACTGGAAATCTAACAAAATCAAGAGAGTAGTGCGATCTACTATAGCTGCTGAAGCATTGAGTTTGGAGGAAGGACTTGAATCTGCGGTGTACTTTAGAAAAGTAGTAGAAAACATTTGTGGGATTGAGGAGCACAACATACCTCTTGCAGCCTTCATAGACAACAAAAGCATTACAGTCTTCAAAACTTGTAGATGACAAACGACTAAGAATAGATATTGCTGCTATCCTGGAAATGAAACTTAACTGTTTTGAAGTCAAATGGTGTCCTGGAAAGATACAGCTAGCCAATTCTTTGACAAAGCGAGAAGCCTCAGGAATTGAACCGTTGGACGTGCTTCAAAGAGGAAAAATGCCAGAGGAATTTGTTTAGTGTGCTGTGCTTGAGAGGGGCATAATAATCCCTGTGACTAGAGGATGGTCTAACCCAATGATGGTCACTTGTATCAATATTTATCTGTATACATTGTTCATACCAATTGAACTTTTAATAATGGAACTGTCAAGTTAATTTGTTTTGTTTGTTTTTTTTTAAGATATATTTTCTTCAATCATCAACGTTTTAAGAATAATTTCTGTCACTAAATAGATGAATTGTAATTAATGTTAAGCTACTATAATGAGATAAGGGAGATAATCCTTACCATGTTCCATTCAGTTATTACCTCCCCAGTACATTCACTCTTACTCTTTTGAAGATAACTTTGTTGGGAGAAGTGTGTGAATAAATTGGTGGATAAAAGGAGTGTGCTTGTCACAGTGTTATAGGTGCATTAACATATTCTTTATAATATCTGTCCAAATTCTGGTATTATGGGATGTCATCGCCATATTTCTTTCTTGTATATTTAATTATGCTACAAATATCACTACTTAATTTACATTGATTGCTGATAAAAGCTAAAGACAGTCATGAAACCATTAAAGATTTATTACAAAATACACATACTAAAAAATTCAAATGTACATATAGCTAGTACACAAAAGTTACAGAAAATAATATCGCCATTCAATTTTTCATTATAATGTTTTACAGGGGATGTCACAAATTTATTTTTATAACTCATTGTTAGGGTGCTAATATTGAAAAAGGGCATTTGTGACACGTCATGTTCAATGAAAAAGGGCATTTAGCCATTGAAATAATTTACAAACAATGAGATCACTCAGAAAGGGCAGGGTGACAACAAAAAAAGGCAGGGTGGCAATAAATAGGGGCAGGGTACTGCGCCCTTAAAAAGGGGCCTAGGGGGAACACGGTTACTCCTGCGGAATGAACTGTCACAACCAGGCACATCCAAATGCCACGCATCTATTGCCGCGTTTGGACGAACTTTTCATGTTTAAAACTTAAACAAACCGCGCATCTGTCACAAGTTTTCGTTCTCGATCACACTTGTGACGTCACACATTCCCACTGATTTCAACAGACTGTAATGCGATATTGTAAAGGTGTCATTTCACAAATCTATGAATATCTGAAAAAATCCACAACCAATTTTTTAGTCCACCATTATCAGATGGTGGGCTATTCAAATCGCCCTGCGTCCGTGGTCCGTCCGTCCGTAAACAATTCTTGTTACTGCTATTTCTGGAAAAGTGCTGGATGGATCTTTCTCAAATTTTATATGCAGGTTCCCCTTGGTCCCTAGTTGTGCATTGTACCTTTTTTGGACTAATTCGAATTCAAGATGGCCGACAGGCGGCCATCTTGGAGTTTGAAAGTGAAAGTTTGTGACCGCTATTTCTGGAAAAGTTCTGGATGGATCTTTCTCAAATTTCATATGCAGTTTCCCCTTGGTCCCTAGTTGTGCATTGTACCTTTTTTTGGACTGATTCGAATTCAAGATGGCTGACAGGTGGCCATCTTGGATTTTGGAAGTAAAAGTTTGTTACTGCTATTTCTGGAAAAGTTCTGGATGGATCTTTGTCAAATTTCATATGCAGTCTCCCCTTGGTCCCTAGTTGTGCATTGTACCTTTTTTTGGACTGATTCGAATTCAAGATGGCTGACAGGCTGCCATCTTGGAGTTTGGAAGTAAAAGTTTGTTACTGCTATTTCTGGAAAAGTTCTGGATGGATCTTTGTCAAATTTCATATGCAGTCTCCCCTTGGTCCCTAGTTGTGCATTGTACCTTTTTTGGACTGATCCGAATTCAAGATGGCCGCTTGTCGGCCTTCTTTTATTTTAAAAAGAAAAATTTGGTACTGCCATTTCTGAGAAAGTACTGGATGGATCTTTGTCAGATTTCATAGGGAGCTTCCCCTTAGTCCCTAGTTGTGCAGTGTACCTTTTTTGGACTGATTCGAAATCAAGATGGCTACAGGCAGCCTTCTTGGATTTTGAGAGTAAAATCTTGTTACCGCTATTTCTGAAGAAGTACTGGATGGATCCTTCTGATAGTTCATAGGTATTGGTTTCCCTTGGACCCTAGTTGTGCATTGTACCTTTTTGGACTGATTTGAAATCAAGGTGGCCCACAGGCAGTCTTCTTGGATGTTGACAGTAATACAGCACAAGCATATTTTCTTTGATATTCTATCATATTGATTCAAGACCATGTCCATTATCCACCTGTAACTGACTGATATCTAATAATACTTTGGGATATTTTTCAAATGATATTTACTAATAGGTGCTTAATAGAAATATCTTGTGCCATCATTGAGTACATTTACAACACCTGTAATAAAAAAAAAATAAACAAAAATTCAAGAACTGAAAACAGATCCTCAAATGGTGGGCGCCAAGATCCCTCATGGATCTCTTGTATAATTTATACATTGACCGTTTTCTTTTTTAGATAAATGGCGTTAGTAATGTCTGCCAATGAATGTACACTTTAAGGCCTGATCAGAAAAAACTAATTGACCAAAAGGTATCCATCTTGGATTTTGACTTTGAAAGTTTTTATTGCTATTTCTTGAGAACTAGAGCATAAATCTTTCTCAAATTTGATATGTATATTTACCTTGATTCCTAGTTGTGCCTGTTTGCTTTTGGTACTGATAAGAAAAAACAAAATGGCTGCCATCTTGGATTTTGCCTAGTAAAGATTGTTATCCCTATTTCTTAGTAAGTACTGAATGGATATCTATCAATTTTCATACATATGATCCCTTTGGTCTCTCCTTGTGCTTGTTTGATTTTGGGTCTGATCAGAAGTAACAAAATGGCTTCAAGGTGGCCAGTTTGGATTTGGCGGGTAAAGATTGTCATTTCTGTTTCTGCAAAGGAATGTTCACATGTCTTATCATTAAGAGCAAAACAGAGAAGAAGGGAAAAGATCCAACTTTCAAAGAGCATATCAAGGTCGAACAATGTTTGGTGCCAAGATCTTGAAAAAAATGTAGACAGATTGATGGAATCTTGACTACTATTTGTCTTCATTTACGTATAAACAGAAAATTTGACAAGAAAGCACCAGTGTGCTTGGTCGAAAATACTTAAGTTTTATCACCATAAGAAAATTTATTGTTGTAATTTTTTATGAAATTAATAAATTTCTATATTCCACCGACAAAAATGTAATGAAAACCTATTTGTGATGTTCACCAATAGAAGCCATCAAATTTTCTTATTATCCCTAAGCAAACAGGCTTGTGATGCTGATGATGTGAAATTTGGCTTTTTATATATGTCTGAGGAGCTTGTCTGGGCTGCAATATGAAAACTGATATTTTTGATCTGAAGCCCTTCAGACAGTTTCTTGGTCAGATACCATATACTGGAAGTTAAAGCCATCTTGTGATTTTCATTTTAGTTTCTAATAGAGAAAAATAAATAAAAGATGGCTTCTGCAGGCATCCATCTGGATCTACTTCTGATAGTGATATGTACATTGAACTAGTCCCATCTCTGCATTACACAGCATGTGTAAAGTTTAATTTCTATATATAATAGCCATATGGTGTTCTTGATTATACATAAAGGATGTACATGCATGTGTATGCATTGTTCAAGTCAGTAATGTGTCCAGTATAATCGCAGAGGATTGGAGCTTAGGTTGAATCTTTTGCAAGTCTTAAGTTCATTAGAAAATGTGTGTGGTATTTTTAGCCCACCATCTGATGATGGTGGACTGTTCAAATCACTCTGCACCTGGTCTGTCGTCTGTAAACAATTTTCGTTATCACTTTTTCTTGAGAAGTACTGAATGGATGTTTTCTCAAATTGCATATGTAGGTTTCCCATGGTCCCTAGTTGTGCCTGTTTGATTTTGGAACTGATCAAAGCAACAATATTGCCGACAGGCAGCCATCTTTGATTTTTCAATGAAGTTTGTTATGGTTATTTCTTGAAAAGTAAGAGATGGATCTTACTTAAATTTCATATGTAGCTTTCCCATGGTCCCTAGTTTTTCTCGTTTGATTTTGGGTTAGATCAACAAATACGAAGAGGCTAACAGGCAGCCTTCTTGTATTGTTATTGCTATTTCTTAAGAAGTACTGAATGGATTTATCTCAAATTTCATAGGTATGTTCCCTTTTGTCTCTCCTTGTGCTCATTTGATTTTGGGACTGACATGTGGCCATTTTGAATTTGGCCGGTAATGATTATCATTACTGTTTCTGCAAAGGAATGTTTAAATGACAGAGAAGAGAAGAAAAAAGATCCAACTTTTAAAGAGCATATAAAGATCAAACATTGGTGGATATCAAGATCCCTCTGGGATTTCTTGTTTCATGATTGGAAATTAATCTGTTTCAATGATTTGAAGTTGCTTTGTGTAAAAGTTTGGCTTAACTGTTCTTTCAGTATTGTCTTATTCTGTACAATGAAAACGTTGGATAAAAAAACAGAATTAAGAGAAACCAGTTACTTCAAAAAGAGTAACCTGTGAATTTACACTTTTGTATTTTCAGGAATGTGTTATTCATGAAGAAAAACTCAGAAGAAATGGAGGAACCAGATTTTAATGTGTTGAACCTTGCTCAGGTTGCAAGCTCAAATTTGACTGTTGCAAGTATTCACACCATCGGTACCGTGAGCATGAGCAGTGCTAACCTTACACCTCTACCTCAGAAAAAGTTGTTCTACTCCAGGGAAGCTTCTGTTACAGGAACAGACCTCTTGCCGATTTGTAGGATCTGTCAACTTCCAGGAGATATAGCTGATCCGCTTTTCTCTCCATGTAGATGCTCTGGGACATTAGGCTTCATTCATTACACTTGTTTAAAGGTAAGGCTTTGACCATAACATGTATTAAGCTGTTCTAAGTTTGATAGGAGATGGGAAGTAGAATAAGATTGCAGTGTCAGCAAGCATATACATCATATATATATTTTGAGCCCACCATTTGATGTTGGTGGGTTATTCAAATCACTCTGCGAACATGGTCTATTGTCCGTCCATAACCAATTTTTGTTATCGCTAGTTCTTGAGAACTACTGTATAGGTCTTTCTCAAATTTCATGTATAGGGTTCTTTAGGTCCCTAGTTGTGCCTATTTGAGTTTAGGGCTGATCAGAAAAACAAAATGACCGACAGGCAGCCATATTGGATTTTTCCGTGTAAAGATTGTTATTCCTGTTTCTAAGTACTGAATGAATACCTCAAATTCCATATGTATGTTCCCTTTTGTTTCTCGTTGTGCCTATTTGATTTGGACTGATCAGATGAAACAAAATGGCTTCCAGACAGCCATTTGGGATTTGGCAGGTAAAGACTATCATTGCTATTTCTGCAAAGGAATGTTCAGTTTCTTATCATTAAGAGCAAAAACAGAGAAGAGAAAAGAAGGGAAAAAGTCTTACTTTCAAAGATGAAGTAAAGATCAAACAATGGTGGAGGCGAAGATCCCTCTGGGATCTCTTGTATAACTTCAGTCATAGCATTTTAACACATTTCAGATCTAGATTTGTCATGAATTGTAATGATTGCATGCACCCCATTCACAGAGCCAATGATAAGGTATTGCAGTATGTAGCCTTCTGTACATGTTCATACATAAGTGTGTGCAATGAACCACTTAGTCCAAAGAACTAGAAGGCCTGTGATAATTACTGCAGAAGTATCCACATACTTATAGTGTTTATTATGATGCACAATTGAAAAACCCTGACAGTTAATGTTTCTCTGGAAACAGGAATGGACTGTGCCTACACTTCATGTTTACCCATCAGTCTCCTTAAAATGACCCGGGCTTTTTGAAGGACGATAAAATACATATACACAGGACCCTGGGAAATGTTAGGATGGGCCTTGAAAAGACACTGGTTCACTTGTCCTGAGTGGATTTTACTGAAGGACAAATAATTTTTGGCAACTAGCTACACATGTAGTCCAGATGAGTTTTTTTCATGTAATTTCACAAACTTTTAAAATAGAACTACAGACCTAACCATTGGCCATTACATATTACTTTTGTGAGACGTTGTGCAAATCATCAAATGTCAGCACTTAAGCAGGCTATTTTGTGTTTCCTAGAATGAAAAGTGAACACAAGGAAACAAGTAACAAATACTATACCTACTTTAGTGGTAGAGTTAAAGTGTTCCGAGTTATCACAAAGTATAAGCAGTGGGTCCAAAAGTTATCTGAATGTCACAGCAAAAATTACTTCTGTCAACCAAATCAAAAACAAAGACATTTGCCATGAGAAATCTTACCGTATTTTACCGCAAATAAGACCCCCCCACCCAGTTCAAAAAGACTTGTCAAAAGAGGGGAGGGGGCTTATTTGCGGGCAATCCCCCTGATGTCATGTGTCCGTCATCTTGGATTTTTTGTCATAAGGAACAATAACTTGGCCTATCTGTCATCAAAAATAACCCAAAGACAAAAATGGGATCAATAATTTTATTAACAATATAACAAAATATATTTTACTGAGATCATCGTATTCCAACGCTGAAACACTGTTTCCACCGGCGTAACCATCCATTGGAGGCTATGAAGTTTTCAATGCGGAGTTGGCTGGCGAGTTCTCTCCCCTTAGACTGCAGCTGATAATTGGAGACAGGTCGACCCTCGGCGCGTTCCTCGACGATCCAGTCAAACACGTTGTCGTCAAACTTAATGGACCTTGGCGCTGGGTTGGTGCCAAGCTTCTTCTTGGAGTCTGTTCCTTTTCCATGGCCAAGGAGTTTCTCAAAGTCTCCATCCCACTGTCTGACGAGTTTCCTGTCGACGGAGAAATCTCTTGCTGTCTGATGGAGATTTCGGCCATTGTTCCAGCCCAGTTACAATGTCTAAGTTCTCCTTAACTGTTTAATGTCTTTGTGTAGCAGGCATGATGATTTGTGTCGTGGTTGGATTTTTACTCTCTATTTAACGACACTGATATGGCTTGAGACTCAACGTGTCAAAGTCTTCTCAATACGTCAAAGCGACACTGTTGTTTTTGCATGTTTTTAGCGTTGCCCTCTCGCTCAGTCACTGTGATTGTTAGCTAATTATCCCCAGTTGAAATAAAAAATAAGTGGACACATGTGAACACTAAAAACACAACAAATACCCTCCTATTCCTGGCAAATTGGAAAAAATGATGGGGAGTCTTATTTGCGGCAGGGGGCTTATTTGCAGTGAAATGTGGGTATTTGCAATTTAATAAAACAAAAACCAAAATGATGATTCACAAATATAATCTAAGTTAGCATTTTGTTATATGCTCTTAATGATTTTGATTTATAATGCAAGATCAGCCATGTTTACTCTATCTGCTGTTGGTAACAATTTCGACTAAACATTATACATGTATCAACAATTGATTCACAACTTAATTGAATTGATTTAATTAAAACTTGTTGCACAATGTGTCAATGCTGAAAATGTTGTTTTGAAAATTTCTAAATGTAAATTTTCAGAACTAGTAAAATTCTTGTCAGCAGACAAGTACTTTTAATCGGGCCACAAGCCTGTTGGACTATTAGCTTTGTGTTTTGTTTGTCAGTCTCTGAGGTAGAAAAGTGGGGGTAAACATTGGAGTAGCTTAGTAACGAATAAGCACAAATTTATACAATTATAGTATACATGTATATTTTCCATTCCATTCCAGAATCCATTTTTTTCCTTTTCATAAGATGGCCTCCTTTAAGATTAATTTGTACTCATAAGCTGAACATATTTTTCCAGTACTATTTACCATAGCAGATGTTATTCTCAGGGAAACTATTCATTTGTAATGCATATGAACCGATCATCATTGAATTAAGACATGAATAATACACATTAACATTTTTGTTATTCAGACACTGATTCTTTGGTGATTCTAATGCATGTTCGCTGCATGATAATGATATGCTATTTGAAGTGACAGCAATAAGATATAATTAAAACTAGAAATTCTCAGATACAACAGAGCTAGACTAAAATCACAGATTCTGAAGTACAACCACATATAGTCCTGTGCTTGGCTGTTTGCCAATATGTGTATAACGCATGTAAACACACACATGCACATGATCAGCTATTTCATGATAGTAATCTGTCATGATATTATTGAATTGGTTTCTTCTGTGTTTACAGCAACATTTGAAGAAGCTCAAGTCACTTGAAAAATTGTCTGTAATCTAAAGTTTAGTTTGGCCATCCTGTATTTTGACAACAAATAGTATTGTCAAATACTGATTTTATCATTTTTACCCACAAGAGCTGAATCATCTACAAACTCTAAAGATGCTATTATGGTGTTAGTAGTTTCAACATCCTGTAAATGATATCAGTCTGATACACCAAACATTGTTAGTTGACGTTCATTTCTGATTGCCCAATTGTTTTCTGTTGATAAAATGTGAAAAAAAAACCATTAAATTTGCTTTACTTGTGTATCTTACTATTTGATAACATGCGTTACTGACATGGTCTGTCAATGTGTCTTTGTGTTCTGATGTTTGCATGTTTTTATCACACAAATTGTTATTGATGACTGTTATTTGTGACCTTGGCTGAACAGTGTGTAAATTTAACAATATTTTATTTTCTGTGTATAAAATATTTTTCCTACCTACCATCATCTTTCGCTTCATACCAGTGTTGTCATTTTAAACTTTATTTTTGTCAGCTTTTGTCCATGAATTCTAAAAAAAAAAAAAAAATAGTGTATATATTATGACTTGTTATTTGTGCTTTTGTCAGAGCATGTACATTGTAGTGTATCAGTATTGACTGAAAAGTGTAAAGACGTATCAGATCGTTGTGAGAGTCACCAGCAGATATGTGGCAGTTGTATGCTTTCTAACATAAATGTATTACAAACAATAAATAACTTTGTATTTTAGCAGATCAGTTGACCCACTTATAGAAATACTGCATATTAAAGTGTTGAATTGGAACATGTTGTAGTTTTGGAGTAGGTACTTGTCTGGGTTTTGTTAAATAGCTGAAATGTTTGGTGTTGAGAGGCACTGGTACAGAAATCGGTCAGCTATAGCTAGCTGGTAAGGACTACACATGTACATTTATACACAAAGTGGAGGGAGTTATTGTGTGTGAGATACATAAAGCCTTCACTCAGGAATCCTAATACCATCTGGTTCCTCTGCACTTGGTAGACCACAATGACTTTTCCACAGCTGATATAGAATACAGCCTTAAGATATGCTACAATTGTGTTTTATCTTCTCTTATATATACCATTAAAATTATTTTGCTTGGATTTCTTTCATAGGCAGGCAGCTAGGCTTCCACATTGGATGTTCGTTGATGAAATGTATTAAAAACACTCCAAAAGATGGTCACAAATTTCAATTTTGATCTAGCTAGTTTCCCAAGTCTGAGATTTTCTCAAATGATTGTGTGTATGTGTGTATTTAAGGTCGAGCTACCTAATATATTGTTCACCAATTTCAGTGCTGGCATTAATGTGAGGACTTAATGAACTAATCTGACATTGCATAGCACACTTTCATATAATAGTTCTGTCAGACACCAATATGAGCCCTACAAGGAAGCAGATCTTTGTATTGATAAAAAACAATTCAGTATATATCACAGAAGGAAAGAGGATGTTTGGGACCTACTATGGAGTTTACTCTGCAACTTAAAATCTGCCTTTGATTATGAATTAATGCTAAGAAAGAAGTATTATTATCATATCCAAAACCTGTAAACAACTGGTTTGTACCAGAGGATGTGTACATATAACAAAGAGTACACATAGAATTAGCACAACAAATTAAAGTTATGGAAATATGCCAAGATTTAATTGGTCAATCTTACGTATAACTTGTTCATGTATATATATACATAAAATATTCTAAATACAGGGTTACTGTCCTGCTTACAGCTGGTATGTAGGTTAGTGGTATTGTATGGACCAGTGCTGGGAGATTATGGCTTTGTGATACGCACAGCTGATGTAAATTTTAAGAAGTTGTAGATATGGATTAGAACTTTTTAAACCTAAGAAAAGGAATATTACAGAATATACAAAAGCTGTCTTTTATACCACATTGATAAAAGCAAATGGTGAGATTGATATTGAAGTGGAATGTATTTTAAACTTTGCTTAACACTGCAGCAAGCCATATAGACAGAACAAGTTAAACATTCTTATTGTAGAATATTGATCCCAAATCTAAAGATAAGAATACATAACAAAACATTGATTATCATAACCCACTGTAGGAACACTTATTCATAATTACTGAAGTGATAGTGCTGAAGCAGTAAATGTGTCCCTTGCTGAAGGCAAGCGGTACCAAAGGGTGCCTGCATATGAACTCTGCTGAAGCAGTACAGAAATATGGTCCCTGCTGAAGCAGTACAGAAATATGGTCCCTGCTGAAGCAGTACAGAAATATGGCCCCTGCTGAAGCAGTACATGTAATATGTAATTATGATACAGATAAAGAAGAGAAAAAAATTTGTACTGAATATGATATTGGACTCATTTGATGTATTCGATTCATGTGTTTTCAACAGAAATGAGTTTTATTGTTAGTGTTACCAAACTTAATGACCTTGAACGATGGTTTAGCTATATATATATAGCTGTACCCAACTTAATGTGACCTTGACATTTCTGATGACACATTAATCTCATCTTTTGTAGAGGTGGATTGATATATCAACCAGAAAAACGAAGAAGCAACCACGCTGTGAACTTTGCCACTACCAGTTTCACAGACACAAGCGTTTCAAGGTAAACATACTTGACTATTTAACCTCGTTTTTGAGAGGAAAAATGACTTGTTGACAATTGTGAATTTATATTGTTTAAAAATTTGATAACTTAGTTGTGAAACACGAAAGAATTTTATTTTAAGCATTAGCTATAACTTCAGTAAAAGATATGAAAACGGAAATACGCCTATAGGAAGCACATTTAGATAATTTAGATAACAGATTTATATAATTCTGCTCTACTTAGGTTTGGTTATGGTTAAGACAAGGGGATAAAATTCCTCTCAGTGTCATCAAAAATGTATTAAAGAACATCATCATGACTGTGACTCTTAAACTTTATGTACTTCAATTGGTCTTTTCACTGGTTTCAGCTTGGCGACCCCTTTGTTGCTGAGTTTATTTCAGTCTGGTACCTATAAACATGTAGGCCTGTACTCTTATTATACATACTTATAAAAGTAGATTTTTCATACTCTCCATCAATCAATATGATTGTAGATAGGAAAAAATTGACAGATATAGAAACAGGTAGGAAAATTGGACAGGTATAGAATCAGGTAGGAAAATTGGACAGGTATAGAAACAGATAGGAAAATTGGATGGGTATAGAAACAGGTAGGAAAAAATGGACGGGTATAGAAACAGATAGGAAAATTGAACAGGTATAGAATCAGGTAGGAAAATTGGACAGATATGGAAACAGGTAGGAAAACTGGATGAGTTTAGAAACAGGTAGGAAAAAAATGGACGGGTATAGAAACAGGTAGGAAAATTGGACAGGTAGGAGAATTGGACAGATATGGAAACAGGTAGGAAAACTGGATGGGTTTCAGGTAGGAAAAAATGGACAGGTATAGAAACAGATAGGAAAATTGCACAGGTATAGAAACAGGTAGGAAAATTGGACAGGTATAGAAACAGGTATACAAATTGGACAGGTATAGAATCAGGTAGGAGAATTGGACGGGTATAGAAACAGGTAGAAAAGTTTGACAGGTAAGAAACAGGTAGGAAAACTGGACAGGTATAGAAACAGGTAGGAAAAAATGGACAGCTATAGAAACAGGTACGAAAATTGGACAGCTATAGAAACAGATAGGAAAAAATGGACAGGTATAGAACAGATAGGAAAATTGGACAGGTATAAAACAGGTAGGAAAATTTGGAAACAGGTATAAAAATGGGTAGGAACGGGTATAGAAACAGGTGAAAATTGAGTATAGAAACAGGTAGGAAAATTGGACAGGTATAGAAACAGATAGGAAAATTAGACAGGTATGGAAACAGGTAGGAAAATTGGATGGGTATAGAAACCGGTAGGAAAATTGGACAGGTATAGAAACAGGTAGGAAAATTGGACGGGTATAGAAACAGGTAGGAAAATTTGACAGGTATAGAAACTGGTAAGAAAAAAAAGTCGGGTATAGAAACAGATAGGAAAATAGGACAGGTATAGAAACTGGTAGGAAAAAATAGACGGGTATAGAAACAGATAGGAAAATAGGACAGGTATAGATTCAGGTAGGAAAATTGGACAGGTATAGAAACAGGTAGGAAAATTGGACAGATATAGAAACAGGTAGAAAAATTGGACGGGTATAGAAACAGGTAGGAAAATTGGACGGGTATAGAAACAGGTATGAAAAAATGGACGAGAACAGGTAGAATTGGACAGGTATAGAAACAGGTAGGAAAATTGGACAGGTATAGAAACAAGTAGGAATATTGGACAGTTATAGAAACTGGAAGGAAAAATAGACGGGTATAGAAACAGGTAGGAGAATTGGACAGCTATAGAAACAGGTAGGAGAATTGGACAGGTATAGAAACAGATAGGAAAATTGGATGGGTATAGAAACAGGTAGGAAAAAATGGACGGGTATAGAAACAGATAGGAAAATTGAACAGGTATAGAAACAGGTAGAAAAATTGGACGGGTATAGAAACAGGTAGGAAAATTGGACGGGTATAGAAACAGGTATGAAAAAATGGACGAGTATAGAAACAGGTAGAATTGGACAGGTATAGAAACAGGTAGGAAAATTGGACAGGTATAGAAACAAGTAGGAATATTGGACAGTTATAGAAACTGGAAGGAAAAATAGACGGGTATAGAAACAGATAGGAAAATTGGATGGGTATAGAAACAGGTAGGAAAAAATGGACGGGTATAGAAACAGATAGGAAAATTGAACAGGTATAGAATCAGGTAGGAAAATTTGACAGGTATAGAAACAGGTAGGAAAATTGGACAGATATGGAAACAGGTAAGAAAACTGGACAGATATGGAAACAGGTAAGAAAACTGGATGGGTTTAGACACAGGTAGGAAAAAATGGACGGGTATAGAAACAGGAAAATTAGACAGGTATAGAATCAGGTAGGAAAATTTGACAGATATGGAAACAGGTAGGAAAACTGGATGAGTTTAGAAACAGGTAGGAAAATTGGACAGGTAGGAGAATTGGACAGATATGGAAACAGGTAGGAAAACTGGATGGGTTTCAGGTAGGAAAAAATGGACAGGTATAGAAACAGATAGGAAAATTGCACAGGTATAGAAACAGGTAGGAAAATTGGACAGGTATAGAAACAGGTATACAAATTGGACAGGTATAGAATCAGGTAGGAGAATTGGACGGGTATAGAAACAGGTAGAAAAGTTTGACAGGTAAGAAACAGGTAGGAAAATTGGACAGGTATAGAGACAGGTAGGAAAAAATGGACAGCTATAGAAACAGGTAAGAAAATTGGACAGCTATAGAAACAGATAGGAAAAAATGGACAGGTATAGAACAGATAGGAAAATTGGACAGGTATTAAAACAGGTAGGAAATTTGGACAGGTATAAAAATGGGTAGGAAAATTGAACGAGTATAGAAACAGGTAGGAAAATTGGACAGGTATAGAAACAGGTAGGAAAATTAGACAGGTATAGAAACAGGTAGGAAAATTGGATGGGTATAGAAACCGGTAGGAAAATTGGACAGGTATAGAAACAGGTAGGAAAATTGGACGGGTATAGAAACAGGTAGGAGAATTGGACAGGTATAGAAACAGGTAGGAAAATTGGACAGGTATAGAAACAGATAGGAAAATTGGACGGGTATAGAAACAGGTAGGAAAAAATGGACAGGTATAGAAACAGGTAGGAAAATTGGACAGGTATAGGAAAAGGTATAAAAAAAAGGTATAGAAAAATGGAAACGGGTATAGAAACAGTAGGAAAATTAGGAAAATAGGAAAAGGTATAGAAACAGGTAGGAAAAAACAGGTAGAAACTGGTAGGAAAAAAATAGACGGGTATAGAAACAGGTAGGAAAATTGGACAGGTATAGAAACAGGTAGGAAAATTGGACAGATATAGAAACAGGTAGAAAAATTGGACGGGTATAGAAACAGGTAGGAAAATTGGACGGGTATAGAAACAGGTAGGAAAATTTGACAGGTATAGAAACAGGTAGGAAAATAGGATAGGTATAGAAACTGGTAGGAAAAAATAGACGGGTATAGAAACAGGTAGGAGAATTGGACAGCTATAGAAACAGGTAGGAGAATTGGACAGGTATAGAAACAGATAGGAAAATTGGATGGGTATAGAAACAGGTAGGAAAAAATGGACGGGTATAGAAACAGATAGGAAAATTGAACAGGTATAGAAACAGGTAGAAAAATTGGACGGGTATAGAAACAGGTAGGAAAATTGGACGGGTATAGAAACAACAGGTAGAAAAATGACAGGTATATGGACAGGTATAGAAACAGGGTATAGAAACAGGTAGGAAAATTGGACGGGTATAGAAACAGGTAAGAAAATTGGACAGTTATAGAAACAGTTAGTAAAATTGGACAGGTATAGATTCAGGTAGGAAAATTGGACGGGTATAGAAACAGGTAGGAAAATTGGACAGGTATAGAAACAGATAGGAAAATTGGACGGGTATAGAAACAGGTAGGAAAAAATGGACAGGTATAGAAACAGGTAGGAAAATTGGACAGGTATAGAATCAGGTAGGAAAATTGGACAGGTATAGAAAAAACAGGTAGGAAAATTGGACAGGTATATAGGAAACAGGTAGGAAAATTAGACAGGTATAGAATCAGGTAGGAAAATTTGACAGATATGGAAACAGGTAGGAAAACTGGACAGGTATAGAAACAGGTAGGAAAACTGGATGGGTTTCAGATAGGAAAAAATGGACAGGTATAGAAACAGATAGGAAAATTGCACAGGTATAGAAACAGGTAGGAAAATTGGACAGGTATAGAAACAGGTTGGAAAACTGTACAGGTATAGAAACAGGTAGGAAAATTGGACAGGTATAGAAACAGGTATAGGAAATAGGTATAGAAACAGGTAAAATTGGACAGGTATAGAAACAGGTAGGAAAATTGGGGTATAGAAACAGGAAAATTAGGAAACAAGGAAAATTGGACAGGTATAGAAAAAAACAGGTATAGGAAAATTGGACAGGTATAGGAAAAAAACAGGTAGGAAAATTGGACAGGTAGAAACATAGGAAAAAACAGGTATAGGAAACAGGTATAGAAACAGGTAGGAAAATTGGACAGGTATAGAAACAGGTAGGAAAATTGACAGGTATAGAAACAGGTAGGAAAATTGGACAGGTATATAGAAACAGGTATAGAAAAGTTGGATGGGTATAGAAACAGGTAGGAAAATTGGACAGGTATAGAAACAGGTAGGAAAATTGGACAGGTATAGGAAAATTGGACAGGTATAGAAACAGGTAGGAAAATTGGACAGGTATAGAAACAGGTAGGAAAATTGGACAGGTATAGAAACAGGTAGGAAAATTGGACAGGTATAGAAAACAGGAAATTTGGACAGGTATAGAAACAGGTAAAAAATGGACAGGTATAGAAACAGGTAGGAAAATTGGACAGGTATAGAAACAGGTAGGAAAATTGGACAGATATAGAAACAGGTAGGAAAATTGGACAGGTATAGAACAGGTAGGAAAATTGGACAGGTATAGGAAAAGGTATAAAAATTGGACGGGTATAGAAACTGGTAGGAAAATTGGTCGGGTATAGAAACAGGTAGAAAATTGGACAGGTATAGAAACAGGTAGGAAAATTGGACAGGTATAGAAACAGGTATTGGGGTATAAAATTGGACAGGTATAGAAACAGGTAGGAAAATTGGACAGGTATAAATTGGACAGGTACAGGTAGGAAAATTGGACAGGTATAGAAACAGGTAGGAAAATTGGACAGGTATAGAAACAGGTAGGAAAATTGGACAGGTATAGAAACAGGTAGGAAAATTAGACAGTTATAGAAACAGGTAGGAAAATTGGACTGGTATAGAAACAGGTAGGAAAATTGGACAGGTATAGAAACAGGTAGGAAAATTGGACAGGTATAGAAACAGGTAGGAAAATTAGACAGGTATAGAAACAGGTAGGAAAATTGGATGGGTATAGGTAGGAAAAAAACAGGTATAGAAACAGATAGGAAAAAAAGGTATAGAATTGGATGGGTATAGAAACAGGTAGGAAAATTGGACAGGTATAGAAACGGGTATAGAAACAGGTAGGAAAAAATAGAAACAGGTAGGAAAATTGGACAGGTATAGAAACAGGTAGGAAAAAAATTGGACAGGTATAGAAACAGGTAGGAAAATTGGACAGGTATAGAAACAGGTAGGAAAAAAGGTTGGACAGGTATAGAAACAGGTAGGAAAATTGGACAGGTATAGAAACAGGTAGGAAAAAGGTATAGAAACAGGTAGAAAAACTGGACAGGTAGGAAAATTGGACGGGTATAGAAACAGGTAGGAAAAAATGGACAGGTATAGAAACAGGTAGGAAAATTGGACAGGTATAGGAAAAGGTATAAAAATTGGACGGGTATAGAAACAGGTAGGAGAATTAGGCAGGTATAGAAACTGGTAGGAAAAAAATAGACGGGTATAGAAACAGATAGGAAAATTGGACAGTTATAGAAACAGGTAGGAGAATTGGATGAGTTTAGAAACAGGTAGGAAAATTGGACAGGTAGGAGAATTGGACAGATATGGAAACAGGTAGGAAAATTGGACAGGTATAGAAACAGGTAGGAAAATAGGAAAATTGGACAGGTATAGAAACAGGTAGGAAAAAATGGACAGGTATAGAAACAGGTAGGAAAATTAGACAGGGACAGGTATAGAAACAGGTATAGGAAAATTGGACGGGTATAGAAACAGGTAGGTAGGAGGAAAATTGGACGGGTATAGAAACTGGTAGGAAAAAAATAGACGGGTATAGAAACAGATAGGAAAATTGGACAGTTATAGAAACAGGTAGGAGAATTGGACAGATATAGAAACAGGTAGGAAAAAAATGGACAGGTATAGAACAGATAGGAAAATTGGACAGGTATAGAAACAGGTAGGAAAATTGGACGGGTATAGAAACAGGTAGGAGAATTGGACAGGTATAGAAACAGGTAGGAAAATTGGACAGGTATAGAAACTGGTAGGAAAATTGGACAGATATAGAAACAGGTAGAAAAATTGGACGGGTATAGAAACAGGTAGGAAAATTGGACGGGTATAGAAACAGGTATGAAAAAATGGACGAGTATAGAAACAGGTAGAATTGGACAGGTATAGAAACAGGTAGGAAAATTGGACAGGTATAGAAACAAGTAAGAATATTGGACAGTTATAGAAACTGGTAGGAAAAAATAGACGGGTATAGAAACAGGTAGGAGAATTGGACAGCTATAGAAACAGGTAGGAGAATTGGACAGGTATAGAAAAACGTAGGAAAATTGGACAGCTATAGAAACAGGTAGAAAAACTGGACGGGTATAGAAACAGGTAGGAAAATTGGACGGGTATAGAAACAGGTAGGAAAATTGGACAGGTATAGAAACAGGTAGGAAAATTGGACGGGTATAGAAACAGGTAGGAAAATTGGACGGGTATAGAAACAGGTAGGAAAAAATGGACAGGTATAGAAACAGGTAGGAGAATTGGACAGGTATAGGAAAAGGTAGGAAAATTTGACAATTATAGAAACAGATAGGAAAATTGGACAGATATAGAAACAGGTAGAAAAATTGGACGGGTATAGAAACAGGTAGGAAAATTGGACGGGTATAGGAAAAGGTAGGGAAAATGATGAGGTGTAGCATCATTATGCATGTGTAAGTAAAGAAAAATACAGGAATATAATTAGGTTTTGAAGTTTATAAATAATTCATAAGTATTACAATAGCCTTGCCAAAAACAGGAAATGAACAAATACCGGGTAATGTAGGAAAACTTTTCCCATACTAGTAAATGAATTCATAACTTAAGTAGAATTAATCAAGGTGTTGGTTTAAACTGAGATAGTGCAGTGTAATGAAATGCATTACTATCTTTAGTAGATATCCACATACATTGTATAGTGACCACATTGACTTTTATTGTGGCTTGTTGTCCGGCTGCATTTATTAACTGACCTTCACCAGATGGTAGGCTATTCATAATATCCTTACTACATGTGTCATCTGGTCATCTTCCATCATCTTTTCATAACCAATTTTTGTTATTGCTACTTCTTTAGAAGTACAGGATGGATTTTTAAAGCTCATCTGGTCCAAGGGAATGGAAGGAATGTGCAAGAAATGTATACATACCAGTCATTAGTATTTAAACAAAAGCACAACAGGTGTGGAAAGTGTTTAGGTATTGGTAGTATCATATTTTGATCCTCATGGAATTCATTTATCAATAACTAGTATTTCCTATCATTTGTTAACTTTTAGTTCAAGAACTGGAGGTGGCCAAAAGTGAACACACGAGACAAGATACTCCATATCATATTCTTTTTGAATCTCCTCATAATGATTGGCTGTGCAATAGCCACAGTGATGTGCTTTTTATCGGACAAAGGGCAGATAACCAAGTTTCCCAAGAACAAGGTGGAGCTTACATTGGAGGAGATCATCACTCTGGCATGTGGTGTCATGTTTTTTGTGGCTTTCTTCATTGCAATGACAGTAGAAATAAAGGCCAAGCATACAGTCTACAAATTATGCATGAAGTTCATAGTGCATAACACAGAGTGGAATGTTGACTCATACGACCGTAGCAAGGACTCTGGGCTCAAGGTGGCTCCTCAATATGTCTGATGACAGACTGACTCAAACATGTCTACAAGGCTTGTTTCTCTCAATGTAATGACTAATGAATGTCTCCTGAAGAAAAAAACTCAAGGTTATATTTGGTAGTCAATAGAACATGTATATCAGTATTATCTAAAAACAAGAGCATAAATTATCCTGATTCACTAATCTGCAAAAGGAACAAAATATGTCATATCAGGTACTATTGGTAATGAAGTAACAAAAAAATGAGAATCAATCAACCATGCAGAATATATTCTTTTTGAATTGAAGGGAGAGTTTATTATAATGAAAATGAAGTATTGGATCAGACATATATTTTGATGAACTTTGAGAAAATCAATTGGTGCAAGAAAGTGAAAGTGAAATATAGCTGTTTAGCTGTTCAATGTCATGAGTTAACTAGGACTTGTATGTCTGAGGAAGGAGGTGATGAGTACAAATTCTTTTCTTGAATTTAATGGAAGAATTGTATTAAAATCTTGGGAAAGTGCAGGCAAATGCTATTCAATGTTTTGGGCACATGAAGACATGTCACACTACTATGTCAATATGTCACACTACTATGTCAATTTTAATTTAGAATATAACATAATGTGATACAAGTATTGCTGATCCCATTGTTTAAATTTCTTTCAGCCAATAGAGAACGATGCATCAATACTGGTAATTACAAAATTATATCTGGTGTATTCAATGCTAAACAAAATGATCATACATAACTAATTACAACACAGAACCATTAAACATGTCAAACTAGCTGTTATCAATTACAACACAGAACCATGAAACATGTCAAACTAGCTGTTATCAATTACAACACAGAACCATTAAACATGTCAAACTAGCTGTTATCAATTACAACACAGAACCATTAAACATGTCAAACTAGCTGTTATCAATTACAACACAGAACCATTTAACGTGTCAAACTAGCTGTTATCAATTACAACACAGAACCATTAAACATGTCAAACTACCTGTTATCAATTACAACACAGAACCATGAAACATGTCAAACTAGCTGTTATCAATTGCAACACAGTTCCATTAAACATGTCAAACTAGATGACCTGGAGAGCCTTTATTTGAGGGTTGGTGTGATTGTCTGGTTGGACCTGTTATGATAGTAATATGTACCTAAAACACTGAATAAAATTGCTTATAAACATTGGAAGATTTTAGGGGAAATTTTCTACCTTTATGTGCCTTGACATTGAAAGTAAAAATCATGTTTTATTTCTTTCTTTTTCTGTTGAATAAATGAATAAGATTTAATCATATATGTGTCATGTTTCACAAAAAAGTAAAAACTTTGAAGTTTGTATCTCATCTTATTCTGCCACAGCAACTGTGTTATTGGGTCACATTTTAATTACTTTTATAGCATTTTCTTTCCTAACCCTCAGCGTTCATTCGTTTGAAATACTCTTTAGTATTGTTTTCTCCTGCAAATGATTATATTTTCACATTTCATTGATATCCGTTTATATATACTGTCACCATTAAAATTATGAATACCAGTATCTGGTTGGTTTTTAGGAGCTCTTTCACCTATTCATGCTTTGAAGATATGGATATTAGCTCTCTGAAAATTATTTTTGAACAAAATGTAACTTTTATCAACCATAAAATCTGGTGGAATCTTGGCCGTCCATGCTATATATATTGCCTAGCCATTTGTAGAGCTTGCACATTTTTCTAAGCTGAGAAGACTATGTTATGAGTAGAAACTAAAAGGAATATATATACAGTGGGATGTTTTCTAACAGCGAAAATTGATCTCTGTATTGTACTGGTATTCAACCATCTATTTTGATATGGTTGGATTAAACCTACCCAGTATAACCTGTTTTTATCTGTACTACTTTTTGAATGACTGTCAATTATGTGTTGCTGAATAACTGTGATATTTGCGTAAGTGTGAGGTTGTTGCGGGAGGTCAGTGATTGATTGTGAAGTACTTTATTATGAAAGGTTAGTTAAGGGAATTTTCTAAAGGGCAATTGTTTTCTGATGGACTTTTTATTTCTTTTTAATATTGTTTGTTATGAAGAGAATAAATTGAAATCATGAAAAATGTAAACAAAGTGAGCATTTCTTCCTCCTTGTAGGTACAGCTTCTATATGCTCCAATATTCTATGTATATGTGCACCTTACTTTGTAGAAGCCTACTTGGGCAGTCCCTCTGTCACCATTGTCAAGGGATCACGTCATTTTTTTTTCTTTTTTGATCAAACTAATTTAGGCCCGTGCTATCCTCATGAGTGACATGTCAGTTAAAATAGGCTTGACATTGACAGTGATAATATATCTTATGATATGGTCAGGTTCTTTCCTATGACATGGTCAGGTTCTTTTCTATGACATGGTCTGGTCCTTTTCTATGACATGGTCTGGTCCTTTCCTACAATGTGGTCTGGTCCTTTCCTATAATAAGGTCTGGTCCTTTCCTATGACATGGTCTGGTCCTTTTCTATGACATGGTCTGGTCCTTTCCTACAATGTGGTCTGGTCCTTTCCTATAATAAGGTCTGGTCCTTTCCTATGACATGGTCTGGTCCTTTCCTACAATGTGGTCTGGTCCTTTCCTATGATGTGGTCTGGTCCTTTCCTATGACATGGTCTGGTCCTTTCCTATGATGTGGTCTGGTCCTTTCCTATGACATGGTCTGGTCCTTTCCTACAATGTGGTCTGGTCCTTTCCTATGATATGGTTTGGTCCTTTCCTATGATGTGGTCTTGTCCTTTACTATAATATGGTCTGGTCCTTTCCTATGATATGGTCTGGTCCTTTCCTATGATGTGGTCTTGTCCTTTCCTATGATGTGGTCTTGTCCTTTCCTTTAATATGGTCGGGTCCTTTCCTATGATGTGGTCTGGTCCTTTCCTATAATATGGTCTGGTCCTTTCCTATGACATGGTCTGGTCCTTTTCTATGATATGGTCTGGTCCTTTCCTATGATGTGGTCTGGTCCTTTCCTATGATATGGTCTGGTCCTTTCCTATAATATGGTCTGGTCCTTTCCTATGATGTGGTCTTGTCCTTTCCTATGATGTGGTCTTGTCCTTTCCTATGATGTGGTCTTGTCCTTTCCTATGATGTGGTCTTGTCCTTTCCTTTAATATGGTCGGGTCCTTTCCTATGATGTGGTCTGGTCCTTTCCTTTAATATGGTCTGGTCCTTTCCTATGACATGGTCTGGTCCTTTTCTATGATATGGTCTGGTCCTTTCCTATGATATGGTCTGGTCCTTTCCTATAATATGGTCTGGTCCTTTCCTATGATGTGGTCTTGTCCTTTCCTATGATGTGGTCTTGTCCTTTCCTATGATGTGGTCTTGTCCTTTCCTATAATAAGGTCTGGTCCTTTCCTATGATGTGGTCTTGTCCTTTCCTATGATGTGGCCTTGTCCTTTCCTACGATGTGGTCAGGTCCTTTCCTATGATGTGGTCTGGTCCTTTCCTATAATATGGTCTGGTCCTTTCCTATAATATGGTCGGGTCCTTTCCTATGATGTGGTCTGGTCCTTTCCTATAATATGGTCTGGTCCTTTCCTTTAATATGGTCTGGTCCTTTCCTATGACATGGTCTGGTCCTTTTCTATGATATGGTCTGGTCCTTTCCTATGATGTGGTCTTGTCCTTTCCTATGATGTGGTCTTGTCCTTTCCTATGATGTGGTCTTGTCCTTTCCTATAATAAGGTCTGGTCCTTTCCTATGATGTGGTCTTGTCCTTTCCTATGATGTGGCCTTGTCCTTTCCTACGATGTGGTCAGGTCCTTTCCTATGATGTGGTCTGGTCCTTTCCTATAATATGGTCTGGTCCTTTCCTATAATATGGTCGGGTCCTTTCCTATGACATGGTCTGGTCCTTTCCTATGACATGGTCTGGTCCTTTCCTATGACATGGTCTGGTCCTTTCCTATGATGTGGTCTTGTCCTTTCCTATGATGTGGTCTGGTCCTTATCTATTATGGCATCACTGTAAAAGATGTGTCTACAGGAACAGTACATATAGTTCTCTGATTTAGTAAAGAATGATCTACTTAACTGTTCACATGTTCCCTCCAAGAGAATTGAAAGTATATTTTTAATGACTTTTTATTTGCTTATTAAGTAAAGGTAACTGAATTTGAATGGAACATCATATTGTATGAAGCAATTTGTAGATGTTATTGAAAAATCTACTCAGTATTTAGTCCTCATTCAATTCAAACACATAATCTGTCAGACTAGAATAGGGAATTATATTGCAAAAGGGAAGTAATGAAATAGTCTTAAAAACATAACTGTTACCAGTCTTTTACATTCTGGATCTTTTCTAAGCACAACACCATGGAAGTTTTAGGAATATCCATATTTTAATCATTGAAGGAGATTTTGGTTGCAAGAATGGACAACTCTGGGTAAAGATGTAATCAGATATGTGTTTAACATATGTTCATTAGAGGTTAGATAACACTTGAAGAAAGTAAGGAGACAACTCTGGTTAACAATGGTATCAGATATGTATTAACATATTTTCATTATGGGTTAGATAACACTTGTCAAAAACATAAAATTCATAGGTTTGGTCATTAGATCTTCATAAACTAGTGTGCTACATCAAATGGTTATGTAGTTTGCTGGTCCTTCTATAGGGATATGATGTCTGTTTTGAACATGTATTGTAAATTATGTGAATGTTTTCATGTATAAATAACACTTACAAATAATATAATGTAATATAATCACTTGGTAACTGTTTTTGTGGGATATGAATACCAATGTAATGATGATAAGTATGTTTAATTATTTGCTACTAACAGATGTGGTACATGTGAGAGTGTAGATTAAAGAAGTAGGTAGATGTGTATATTTTACACTCTGATTATTTGTGATCAGAAATGGTCTTTGTGTTAGACTTTGCCAGAAGGTTTTCCAATGATCTTTATGAAAACAAATTTGAAAAATAAGGATGTGGGACATCTGTTTTAAGTTCAGTGTAATGACATACATATTAACAATATGTTACTTATGAACATTTTAGGATGTATAGATCTGAAAGATTTATAAAAACCACAGGATCAGAAGTAGATTTGGTAGACAGCTTACTGGGTGTCAGCTGGAATCTGTACAAGTAATTATCAGTCAACATCATGGTTTTGATAGTGTTGTCTGTTACACACATTTAGAATGGGAGACAAGCTTGCATGGTTTGACTACCCCTTACAATACACACATTTTTTGGAATGTACTGATAAATTCTCTGTTTTATTTAGTTTTTTTTCTCTACTAGTTGACTGTAAATGTCATTGGAAATCATGAATTTGGCACCTTTAGAAAGAAATGTATCAGAACATTAATTGATTTGTGAAATTTGTTGATTTTTATCCAGTAGTTGAATCACAATTGCATCTCTGGTTTTTCACAACTTTACTTGTCATTTCTTGTGCAATGTAAAAATGATGAAATGCTCTTAGATCTGTCACCATGTTATGTGGTACAGGATTCAATGATTTGCTTGTTCTGTCAAGTATGCTGTGAATACAACACTATTGTAACTACCGATGTTTTTTAACTTAATCACTTAGATTGATATTTATGAAATCAAAATATTGCTGGTTGTCTTTCTGCTGAACTTAAGCCCCAATATTAAAGAGTAGACAAGTAGGGATTGAAGTAAGTAATATATCTACGACCAAGCTATCGTGTCATTCAGTCTTTGTGGTCTCATCACAAAACTTAAAAGGAAAAAAATTGCCTTTTTGCAAGAGTGATTTCTAATGAAATATGATTATCACTCAGACTAGGGTGTTTTTGTAACATTTGTTCTGACATGTTTTATAGTGAAGGACAAACTGAACGAAAAGGTATGTTTTCAATAGAAATGAATTATTTTTCCATATATTAGAAAAATTTTGCTTATTTGCTAATTTACCGATTCTGAAATTGCTTAGTAGTCCTAGGCTCCGATCGAGGGTACTATCAAGTAACAAGATGAAACCTGCTGTGTTTTGATGAAAAGGAAGAAATACCTAGCAACAATTTTTTGCCCAGATTTGAAAATATTGTATGATGTAGTAGGACTGCATGTATCATAATCTAGATTAAGGGTATTCCAGATTGGATTAAGGATGTTCCATTTTGGATTAAGGGGGTTCCATTTTGGATTAAGGATGTTCCACATTGGATTAAGGATGTTTCATTTTGGATCAAAGGGATTTTACAATGGATTAAGAGGATTTCACATTGGATTAAGGATGTTCTGTTTTGGATTAAAGGGATTTGACAATGGATTAAGGGGGGTTCCACAATGGATTAAGGGGATTCCACTTTAGATGATTTAGAATCATGTATAGTGCCATATAGGGATCTCTTAAGAATCAGAATTATACAGAACTTGTTTAGTGCCACCTACTTGTTAATAAATTTTTGTTGTTAATTTTTTTAGATTCTTTTACTAATTGATCATATATTGCAGCGATTTGGGTCAGTTTAAGATAACACTTGAGAATTTGCTGAAACTTGACATGATTGTAGTTCTTGAGGTCATCTACAACTCAGGTGGGGTAGTATCAGGAAAAGTTGATTAGATATTTAGGATTGAACATGAAAACATTAAATTTTCCCTCAAATTTTTATATCACTTTCCATTACTTTTTAAACAGGGTATTCTGCTCTCATAATTCGCATGAATACTCTCATTGTTTTACTGAGGATGTCTTCAGTTTTGTTGTATATTCCCTGTGACAATCCCATTAACATTTTGAAAGGCATTGTTTTGTGAATTTCTGGCTTTGAATGATCAATAAATAGTGATCAAAGGCTCAACAAATTTTGAATTTGGTCACCACTTCATTTTGTACAGTAGTTTGAATGACAAAATCTGATGTGTCAGATAACAGTTAACATTATTGGATAAATGAAATAATTTTTCTGAATATTTTATTCATTGATAAGGAGAACGAAAACTACAATAACAACAAAAATTTGATTTGTGATTTCATTCAAGTCCCTCGAGCTACAGAATACTCACCACATTGGATGCTCAGTAATGGAAATTGAATGAAATTACCTTACATTGCTTAACATAACTAAAAAAAAAACAAAACAACAACATCAAAATCTGTGTTTTGAATGTGCATAAATGGGGGTAGATTCCATTCATAGTTAAATACTACCCTTACTCTTGAAAATTATTCTAAGCAAATGGATTTTGCCATATGTCTGAAAATTCATTCACTCTGTGTGCTGGTTTGTCTTTTCCAGTATTTCCCTGTTGTCATTGATATTTTGCATTTGGTTTTCTTTAGAATGTGAGAAAAATAATATGTTTGTTCTTTG